AACATAAGACATTCATCGACCGAGCAGTGAGTAATCCATTCGGTTGAAATGTATATATATATATTTTTTTATCTTCAAACTATTTTTCCAGAAAATATCTTCAGCAACTGCTATCAATCTTTCAAGTATTGATGGGGGTTTCTTTCCTAACATTTTAATTGAAGTCGTGTGGAATATCAACATCTTGAGTATGTCATTATCTTGCAGTTTTATGTGGTATTTATTTTAGCTATTGCGTTTGTTTAAGGACCCACGTGATGTTGATTCTGTTATTTCGTACAGTTCTTTGTGATTTTGCAGCGCCAGGTTCGAATAAATATGGTATTCGTCAAGACGTCATTTTAACTATTAATCTTATAAACCCGTTAATACAGCTGACACTTTAGATATTTCTGAACGAATATGGTACCAGGGATGATATCCTTATGAAAATCTCGATGTAACGAGTCTGTTTAAGAACATGATTTTATTTTTCATTTTAATGTTTTTTTCGGGGTTTTTTTTTGTTTATTTTTTGTTTTGTTTTTCGCAGCAATTTCCGTTCTGTAGCGACTTTACGGGACTTAATTTCAAAATCGATCACTGAACTGTTTTTTTTTTTCAAGGTACCGATATCCAAAGGACGTAAAATGATTACTTAGTTACTTATTTTAGTGCATTATTTTATTTATAATTATTGCCACATGACGTAAAATAAGAGTACTGTTAATAATGAATTTAGCCGTTTCCTTATACAAAATATTCGGTCTTTATTGATCGAACAATTACACTTGGTTGAAATTTTAAAATCTTTCTCTTGAAGCAATTTTTCAAGAAAATATATTGCTCAAGTTCAGCAAATGTTTTTATTTTTAACTTTCTACTCTAATTTACCCAATACAAGGCTCAGGAGCAACTCAAAGTAGAGGGATACTGAATTAAATTGTTGTAAGTAGTGCGTATTATAATGATATATAGGATAAATATGAGTTGATCCTGGCCTTGAAGAGGTTAATTTTAGTTGTCAGGGAAGCATCCTCTCGAGAGTCGGTTCCACAAAATAATGCTGTTTGAGTGAAACTTACTCTTTACCAAAGAAACATAAAGGGAATGGCTGGTGATGATTTGCCATTGTGGACAATGTTCTTTGCCGTAAATATCTGAGCTGTTGGGTCAAAAGAATGTAACTCGTTTAAGCACTTACAATAGTGTCCAACGTATTTATGAGGTTTAGGGCATATACATTAGTGTTCATAGGTACGGATTATAACAGAGAGAGAGGGGGAGAAAGAGAGAGAGGGGGAGAAAGAGAGAGAACGAAAGGGTAAAGAGAATGTTTTAACTTAGCAAGGGTTATTGAATGAGGAATAACCAGATCGGAGGTTGGAAATGAAATGGTAATCTTTCTAACATCAACAAAATACAATACTCGCCAGCGACGTGAAGTAGGTAAACCACTGCTAGTGGTGGACGACTTAGGCAGCATATGTCCAACGTATTTATGAGGATTGGGACATACCCATTTGTGTTCATAGGTACGGTTTATAACAAATGCATAAATAATGTAATTGCCTGTTCTCAATAGGGAGTCGCATTTATCACAATTGAAACCATTGTTTAGTAAAAGCAGACCATAGGCTGGACTAAATTCTACTTTTTGCAAAATTTTCCGTACGACTAACATCGCATACTTTGTACTGAGAGAAAGTATAAAAAAGGAAGAGGATTATTAAATGACAACTGATGAGGATTCTGGGTAGAAATTAGATTTCATCAATAAATTGTATTTTCGCTGTTTAGATAATTTTGTTCGTGATAAAAATATTAATTTCACATGAATAATATGTCAGCCATGTTGATTACGTCAACTCTCCAAACCTTAAAACCAATTAATCATTGTATTGTTTCCATTGTTTATATTATTTTTTTTATTTCTCTTTTTTATTTTCTTTCTTTTTCGTTTTTTATCGTTCATTTTTTTCTTTTTTCTTTTCCCCCCTTCTCCACTTCTTCCTTCTTTTTTCTTTCTTTTTCATTAATTTTTCTTTTTTTCATTTTTCCTTCTTTTCGCTCTTTTTTTTCTTTTTTCCTAAATTGATCCTTCTTTTTTTTCTTTTCTTTCCTTTCTTCTTTCTCTCTTACTATGTTACCCTGGGTTCTATGAGTTAAAGGGACAGTTAACTATCAACTTTTTGTGTCGTTTCGTTTTTGATTGACAGGGTTTTGCGGATGACGTGCGCAGCTCTGCAGAAAATAAAATATTGTACCATTCTTTATCATAACCAATGTTTCTATCACAACAGAGTTAATCATAGTATTGAATTTCCCCATATTATTTCTTCTATTTTCAGGCCATTATTATTATTGTGACAACACACCCTTTCGACTACTTCGTCTTCCTCAGTCGTAAGATCCAAGAACTTTATAGAGTAATACCAACCTTACGGTTGAGCCGGCTTTTTTTTCTAACTTTGGTTGAGGCCCGAGTGTCGTCTCGATAGCGTTGATTCGAGTTTTAGATATTGCGGATTGAAGTCTTGTGAGAACACCTCTTTGTAGGTTGTGCACTACAGACAAGATTGCATCAGATTGCAAAGAGTTTCTTGTAAGCATTACAAGTCAGCTTTTTTCGTGTTAGAGCTCCGATAATCCAGGTCAGTAGTAATGAGTTTCTTGCCAGAACTCCAATAATTAATGTCACCTTGGAATCGATTTAATATTAGATCTCATATAATTCCCGTCACTTTGCAAAGAGTTTCTTGTAAGAGTTTCAATATTTTACGTCAGCTTGTTTCGTGTTAGAGCCCCGATAATTCACGCCACCTTACAATGATTTTTCATGTGATAGCTCTGTGGCCGTGGTAAATTTTGTTTTTTCGCGTCCTAAGACTAGTTTGGGAATAATGCTGGAATAAGAACCCCTTCAATAAGATGCGCAAAACTGTTGATAACTCTAAAAACAGTTTTATTAAATATAAAAAAAACAACATTGGTTTCATCAAAATGTCTCAATTATCCACTGTAAAAACAATGTCTAATAGTGACTTGAGAAATCTCGTTTGAAATGCTAAAGTTCTATCCAGGCCGTCAATTATGACTCAATACTTCTGTCTTGCATGTGGCTCTTTCGAGCAATCCCGGACCGCTTCGGGCCGTCTTCTGGATCAATCTTTGTTTTCTCCCCAGCCACAGTAAATGCGACCCAATCGTATTTCTGACGATATTTCTTGTTGAGCTCGTCTTCTTATGTCTTTGTTATCTGTCTGTTTGTGCTTAGAGAACACTCGTTTATAAAATTAGAACACTTCCCCAAAAAGAAAATTGACATTGATATAATAAAATGGACTTCCCCTTATTTCTAAGACAGATACTGATGTGCATGGTCTTTTGTAGGAAAAATGCCTGCAGTATTTTAATGTTATTGCATAAAGCCGAATAGTAAGTAGGGAGAGGCTAGTCAAAACCGTCTATCCTACACCTAGTTAATCCGATTCGTGACCCATTCATTCAAATAATTTCCTCAATCATCACAAGAATTCTTCCTTCTCCACCCAATCCAACATATGCCACAAGGCAGCATATTAGCATGGATTCTAGTAAAACACCCATGATATATATATATTTCAGTCTGTATTGGAATGACAGTAAACATCCTATTTCCCAATTCTACATAAAAAACATACAGATGCATGATGGGATTTCTTCCTAGCCAATAAAATAGGCCGCCATAATGCACCAAATTTCTGTTCATTTTTTGTTATATTTATTGCACACTTTGTTAATTCTGTTTGTTGGGAATTTCTGACAATTACATTTAACCGTGGTATTTTTATTGAAAAAGGTACCTTGGTATATCTGAGTAATGCGGCCATCTTTCTGACCTAATTTACTTCATACGGACCACTGACTGAAATTGCTCATGCCTAATATAGAGGCTAGAGCAAAATCAGAGTTGCCTTAATTTGTTGCGAAAACTGATAATGAGAAGAAACCCTACAGATGTCTCTATATTTAAAAACAATTTTAATAATTCTAGAGCATATTTTCTATATTTATAGACTCTTTAATATAACAGGCATATTCAAAACATATTGTTTGCCAAATTACTTAAAAATAAATAGCACTGGAATATAATTTCACAACACTCACGCGCAGAGATGATACTGACTTTGATAAATAAAAACGTTATTTTCAAGAGATATTTTCTTGTTATTTTTTTTTCGAATTGAAATGATCTCTTTTCAAAGTTATGAAACTTTTGATAACCTTATCAAGATCGTTTTCGGAAAGATATCTAATATAAAATGATTTTAAACGAATGCATTTTTTCATATATTTCTTTACAGAATAATTTACAAAAATATTATCGGAAGCTGGTGGAATATTATCGAAAGTTATCAATTTTCACGTCTTATTAAGATTTCGTGTTATGCTAGATCGCTTAAGTCAAACTGACATTTTAAAAATTTATAATACAAAATTTTTCACCAAATCTATACACACTGTTTACTGTGCTCATCTCTGTTCATTATATAAAATTCATTTCAATAACGTCAAGATAAACCGGGAAGGAATGGTTTGTGTACACGAAATTGAGATATTTTTTGATGGTTACAATTCAGCTTCTAGATAACGCTGGGTTACGCATGGTGATAAAGACAGGACTTTCGAAAATCTTTTAAATAAGGTGTCAAACACAACCGTTGAAAATATTTATTTTATATCATAGAAGTATTTAATTTTTAGATAATAATAATAATAATAATAATAATAATAATAATAATAATAATAATAATAATAATAATTTTCAGATAATAGTAATATTTTTTAGATAATAATAATAATAATAATAAGAAGAAGAAGAAGAAGAAGAAGAAGAAGAAGAAGAAAAAAGAAGAAGAAGAAGAGGAATATGGAGAAAAAGAAGAGGAAGAAGAAGAGGAGGAGGAAGAAGATGATGAAGAAGAGGAAGAAGAGGAAGAGGAAGAAAAATAGGAGAAAGAAGATGAAGAAGAAGAAGATTAGGAAAAAAAGAAGAAGAAGAGGGTGAAGATGAAAAGAAGTGGAGGAAGAAGAGGAAGTGGAAGATGAAGTAGAAGAAGAAGAGGAGGAAGAAGAGGAAAAAGAAGAAGAAGAGAATGAAGATGAAGAAGAAGAGGAAGAAGATGAGAGGAAGAAGAAAAAGTAGAAGAAGAAAAAGAGGAAGAAGATGAAGAGAAAGATGGAGATAATGAAGAAGAGGAAGAAGAAGAGGAAGTAGAAGAGGAGAAGAAGATGGTGAAGAAGAAGAGGAGAAAGATAACATAGAAGAATAAGAGAAAAAAGAAAATTAAGAGGAAGAAGATGAAGAAGCTGGTGGAAGAAGAAGAAGTGGGATAATAAGAAGAAGAAGAGGAAGAAAAAGATGAAGAAGAAGAAGAAAAGGGGGAGGGGGAGGAAGAAGAAGATAAAAAGAAGATAATGATGATGAAGAAGAAGAAGAGGAAAAAGAAGGAGAAGAAGAGCAAGAAGATGAAGAAGCAGAAGACAAAGAAGAAGAAGAACAACATAAAGTAGAAGAAGAAGAGGAGGAGGAAGAAGAAGAAGAAGAAGAAGAAGAAGAAGAAGAAGAAGAAGAGGAAGAAGATGATGAAGAAGAAGAAGAAGAAGAAGGAAACGGAAATGAGGAAGAAGATGAAGAAGAAGAAGAAGAAGTTATTTAGGTATAATGTTGTATTCTTGATATTTAGCTATAATATGGTGTTCTACTACATTATACCTAAATCACACAAGAGGCAGTGCCATCTGCGACCGCCTGAGTATTCCATGATGAATTTTTCAAGGAATTTGTATTTTCTTAATCCCCACTTACGCATGAACTAAATAAAAATAGCTATGGTTACAAACTAGACAAGAAATAATTCAGACATCTACTCTACATGGATGATCTCAAACTCTTTGCCAAAGACGATAATGAGTTGAAGGGTCTCCTTAATATGTTTCAGCGACAAAATTGGTACGGGTTTCGGATTAGATAAATGTGCAAAAGTAACATTCAAGAAAGAACGAATGAAAACAAAAATCAACAGATTTACATTTTTTTTTTTTCACAAAGATTAGGGAACCAGAATAAGATGAAGCTTATAAGTACCTAGGAATTAGCAAAGGAGCAATACCCAGATGAAGGAGAAATGAAATGATGGTGAAGATAAGAAATGAATACTACAGGTACGGGCGTTTGGTACTGAATATCGACCTTATTTCAAAAAACAGAATATCAGCCATAAACACCTAGGCTGTCCCTGTACAGTTTCAACATACTTAGCTACACCATAACTGACATAAAGTGAATGGACGCCAATACAAGAAAGCTTCTCTCTTGCCATCGCATGCATCATCCCAAGGCTGATGTTGATCGCCTGTAGGTGCCTAGATCCGAAGGATACAGAGGATTAGTTCAACTAGAACTGTCTTAAAAACTACAACAATTTGCTTTCAAAGATACCTGGAAACTACACAAGACTGGATGATGATATGCGTCAAAGAACATGAAAGTAGTAAGCGACTCTATTCAGTAATAAATAAAGTCAACAATTTCAAAATGGATTTTCAAATGACTGAAGAAATACGTGACAAGCATAATACATTGACGGAAGCTGTAAAATAGTTAAAAAAAAGAAAGGAATAGCAACTGAAACCCCCGAGATAAAGAAACGTTGGCAAGATAAACGGCTACACGATGATGAAGACAACCCCCATAGCCAGCAGCGGCTACGTCTTGCACTGCTAAAAGCTGAAACCGAAGATTTTATTCTTGCTGCGTAGGACAAATACTTGCTAACTAGAAATTATCAAGCACATATAATGAAAAATTGTATTAGACCTAAATGCAGATTCTGTGATAAATATCCGGTAAACAACTGACCATCTTGTATCAGATTGGACGGTATTGCCACCCATAGAATATAAAACCCGGCATGACAGAGTGAGCCAATATCTGCACAGGAAGATCTACAATTTCTACTGAAAGGAAACTAAAAGATATTGGTATGAACATAACCTATACTCGGTTACAGAGATAGAGCCTGTAGCAATGTTATGGGACTTTACAATACACACAAAAGAGAACACTCAAAGCTGATCATCCTGACACTCTGATTAGATACCTCAAAGACAAAATGTGCTTCCTTATTGGTATGGCAGTACCTGCAGATTGCAATATATCTTTGAAGTTCTTTATAAAACCATAAAAATACAAAGACCTTGAAATCGAAATCTCAGAAATGTGGCACATGAGGATATTAACAACTTCCGTTGTAGTTGGAGTCCTCGGAACGATTGGAAAAGATTCCAATAGACTCAATGAAGGAATACCTGGAAGCCCATGCCTTAAAGAAATACAAAAAATTATACTCACAAGTACAGCCCACACCTTACCAAAGGCTTTTAAAATGTGTATGACCTTAGTTGTTTTTTCTCCTCAGAAACTACTCAATGGAAAATATCATAGTGCCATTTCTGACCTTAGGTCTCTGGTTGGGATCCGGAAAGGAAGGAGTATACATAATACATCAAAGATAATTAAATAATAATAAAATCTGTTAATTTTTTCCGCGCACCACACGTCTGCTAGGGCGGTTAGTCAATCCCTATTGCTAACGCCTGCTCAGGCAAATTTATTCAACGCCCACACAGCCAAACTGTGTTTTATGCTGCAACCAAGCTGAGCGACCCGTAGTCATAATTTCTGGGATAAAGAGAGAGAGAAAAGATTTAACAAGATCTGTACCATCAAACACTCGCTCACGTTGACTTGTGATTTGGTGCTCGAACAACTATGGACAGCATCCGATCAGGTTCTGACACTCTCAAGTTTTGAGCAAACCGATTATATATGGTTTTTAGATACTTTTTTATATATATATATATATATATATATATATATATATATATATATATATATATTTGATTGGATAGATCTATCCAACCAAATATGTTAGCTCTATCTCTGATATTGAGCGCTTTCTAATAAGTACCGCGCATTTTATATATAAATAATTATACATACTTATATTTATTTATATTTATATACACTTTTCACACACACACACACACACACACATATATATTATATATATATATATATATATATATATATATATATATATATATATATATATATATGATTTAATTAACGTATCAATCTATCTATCTTTTTTTTTTGTGCCGTGCCTCTTCATGACGTAGGCTCTCCACTTCCCTATATCCATTGTAGCTCTCAATAAGTATTTGTCCCTTTTCTACTTCTCTCAGAGCCTGTTCTGTCATCCACTTACTTAAACCCGCTAGGTATGCAACCGTTTCTTTTCCCTTGTCTCACTTTCCCTCTATTCACCCTTTGAGTAACAAATTCTTCAAACCCCGCTTTCTCATTGCGTGTCCCAGAAATTTCAGCTGCCTTTTCCTGATGTTAAGTATAAACTTCCTCCTTGTTTGCATCCTCTCCAAAACTCCAATCGTTGCAGACATGCTTGGCCCATGATATTCATAGCATTCTACAATACAATCATACCTCCGTTGCTCAAGTCTCTTTTTCATCTTTGAGGACATATATATATATATATATATATATGACTAAAAATTCGCACTCTGTAGCCGCCTCCTCTAGTTGATAACAAGACGTCACTTTCCTGACAAATCGGCCATGATGAGATTTGTGCTCGTGTCTGACGGTCAGAAAGCGAACGTCTTAACCACTCGGACACCCTAATTAATATAGGGCGTGTTTTTTTCTATGGAACACCATATGTATCTATATGAAACCGGTTCCCAAGTAGATGCTTTCAAGATCACTACAATCTTAAGCGGTTTAAGTCTAGGGTTAACGTTTATCATCGGCGCATATCTGCATATGTTGTCATTCTTACTCTGTAATATTATACCTCGAGTGGCTCCAGGGCAGCATTACACCACCCCCCAAAAATAAAGAAAAAGTCTTTTAAAGAGTTATATTACTTGGTTCCAACAGCCCTGTCCTTATAGAACCTGCCATACCATGTATATGGGATAAAAATTCCAGAGGAGCAGCTGCTTTCCAAGAACTGCTGCTTCCGACACGATGATTTCAGGAATCTACATTCTATAGCCAATCATAATTATTCTGGCATAACTTCATAAACTACACTATTTGCCTTCTCCTCTCATACAGTATTGCTCTGCCTTGAGTGGATCTTGTATAGGGTGGAAATTAAAAAAAAATTTTTCCAGACAGAACTAGGTCGGATTTCATGAATTCTTCAGCTTCTTCTTAATTCTTCTTTGTCCTAATTTCTTTCTTTCTTTCTTCTTCTTTTTCTTCTTCTTCTTCTTCTTCTTCTTCTTAATACTTCATCTTCGTTTTTAATTCTTCGTGTTCTTCTTACTTCTTTTTCTTAATTCTTCATTTCCTGCTTAATTCTTCTTTTTAATTCTCTTTTTCAAATCCTTCTTGTTCTTTATTATTCTTCTTTTTCTTCTTCTTCGTATTTATTCTTATAATTCTTCTTACTTCATCGTCTTCGTAATTTTTCATCTTAATTCTTCATATTCGTCTTCTTAATTTTTCTCCTTCTTAATTTTTCTTCTTAATTTGTCTTTATCATTCTTCTTCTTAATTCTTCTTCTTTTAAATTATTCTTCTCCTTCTTGATTATTTTTCTTTTTCTTTTTTTCGTCTTCTTTTTCTTATTTCGTCGTTTTAAATTCTTATTATTATTAGTCCGTCTTCTTCGCAATTCTTCATCTTAATTCTTCATATTCTTGTTCTTAATTCTTTTCTTCTTAATTCCTCTTTTTAATCCTTCTTTTTAATTCAACTTCATTCTTTTAAATTTTGCTTCTTTTTTAATTTATTCTTTTAATGCTTAGTTATTCTTCTTTTTAATTCTTTTTAATTCTTCTTCTTTTTAAAATTTTTCTTCTTCTTAATTATTTTTCTTTTACCTCTTTTATCATCTACTTACTTCTTCTTCTTCATAATTATTCTTCTTAATTCTTCATCTTCTTCTTCTTAATTCTTTTTCTTCTTAAATCATCTTCGTCTTAATTCCGTATTTTAAGTACTTTTGTTCTATGAAGGTTTTCCTTAAATTCATGAGGGAATTAATGGCGCTGACGCAATGTCTGTTGGTAGGAGTGGATATACCACTACATCTTCTACAGGATGAAAAGGTTAACATCCTAGTGAAGTTCAGCGTTCAGACTTAACATGGAATCCAGACAAATCGATCAGACATACCTTGGAAAAAAATCACGTTAAAGGAACACATCTGATAGATGCCGGAGTCCCAGCTGGCAAACAGATCTTTGAGAAAGTTTGAGAAACTACGTAAATTCAGTAGAATAGTCTCATCTCAAGACAACTGCATTGCCTGTTATTATTGGGTCTTTGGGAATGACACCAAAAGGAGATAAATGGGGAAAAACGAACAAAAAAAAATCTGTTCCTCATGGGTAGTCATCATATCTTGCATAGGTTCATTCCATGCAGTTATCACAATTAGATATTTTCACACTGATTCTTCGCAACACATCTTTTTGCATCTTCTGATGAAAAAAAAATACATGTTGTCAGTCGAAATCGCTGGTTGGGACTTGGGGTCAATATATGCTACACGAATTAATAATAATAATAATAATAATAATAATAACAACAATGATAATAATCATAATAATGATAATAATATTAATGAAAATAATA